TCGGGGGGAAATGGCATCAAGTCAGGATGGACTGAGGAGTCCATCCCAAAGGCCTGAGTGCACGGTTGAGCGATCAGACTAGGGAAAATCCATCCATGGCCCATTGGAACCAGATAAGATCGGACTTTGCCCAGTGTCTTTTAACTCTGTTTTTGTGGCAGGGCAGCATGATCGCGGAACCTTTCCCAGATGTTGCTGTCTGATCATGCACTTTAGATCCATCAGGCATTCGCAGCTATGTTGGATCTAAAGGCAAGTCTGATCCCAGCCTAAGATCTCCATTTAAAAGCAGCAGGAAGTAGGTCATGCAAAAGACCTCTACCTGACACCATGAAGAGCCACTGCCCATCAAGGTGAACTGTACTAACCTTGGTAGGCCGATGATCTGATTTGGTATAAGGCTACTTCATGTGTGTTCATGTTCCCAATGCAGCGACCTTTTCCGTCCTGTTTGCACCTTAGGCTTTGGCTGATGTGGCAGCTATCAGCCTTTCCTGTTCTCTGTACGATTTTCCCCAAATATGTCAGAAATGACACACTTTAAAGTTGGGAGAAAAATAATCATTTTTTAAGTGAGCTAAAAGTGAAAGTATAATTCTGGCTGAGACACACATATCCCCCTTTGCAAGACTTTCTAAGTTTTCAAAAACCTGCAAAGCCACAGTGGGGCAACACAAATATTGAGGCAGTGGGGCACATCTTAGGGAATGCGGCTAGTTTCAAACAGCTCTCAGCTGTGTTGGAAATTATTGCTTCAGCTTCCACGGTCTCTTTTGGCGCTCTGTTGAAAGGCGCTGCAGCACTGTCCCATCAATCTAATCACAATTCCTATTGGAAGGCGGGGGTGCAAGGCGCAAACAACAAAGTTAGAAAAAGGCTGGTTTCTCTTTGCCTTTTGCATAAGTTATTTGTCCTCAGTGGTTTCCTTAAACATCACGTTATCAGAAGGTTAAACACTCTTCATAGACGGACAGCCCAGCTTTTTAAACAGTGGTCCAAAATTACCAAGTATTGCAAGAGATACTATTCTAGTTCATAGTATATCAGCAGATCAATTTATGAGGAGGAGGGGTAATCTCAAGTTTCATCAACCAGGATTTGTTCCTTTTTTGCCAGTAAATTGATTGAGCAATACCTGCGCTGATTGCAGTGCCCCTAAATGAGTCCAGTTTTGCAAATCACAGAGTTATGCAACAGCAAAGATAAAGTAGTGCCTGCTTCCTGGGTGATTTTTTGTTTCCTTCTGTGTGTCTTAATTGTTCTAAAGAGTGGTTTTCTGCTTTTCTTGGCTGGCCTTCCTCACCTCTTTTCAGATCAAATTAATTGCTACAGTTGAACAGAGCGGCCTGCTTCATTCAGGTAAGCAACACTGGTTTTAGATTAATGCTGGATTATTATCCCATTGGCTGCCCCCCCCCCTTTTAAAACTTCCCCACTCAGATTTCATTTGTGCTTCCTAAGCTTTGGACGGTTTGGGTTACACAATCAGTTGAGTATACAAAATCATATTATACTTACAATATGTAACTGGGTTCATTGTCAGGTTAAAGCTTGTGCATGATTGTTGGTAGGTTCCAGTTTGAATTGGTTAGTGAAAACTTTTAAATGAGTTAAGGCTCCTTTACTGAATTTTTTAAAATAAAGTTGATGCTGGTTATACTGTTTTTCTGTCTGAAAATACGCATCCCCTTCAAGGACAGCCAGTTTGGTGTAGTGGTTAAGTGCGTGGACTCTAATCTGGGAGAACCGGGTTTGAGTCCCCACTCCTCCACTTGCACCTGCTGATGTGACCTTGGGTCAGTCACAAGCTCTGCCACAGCTGTCCTTGAAAAAGAGCAGTTTGTGTCAGAGCTCTCTCAGCCCCACCCACCTCACAGGGTGTCTGTTGTGGGGAGGGGAAGGGAAAGGAGCTTGTAAGCCGCTCTGAGACTCCAAGTGAAGGGCGGGGTATAAATCCAATCTCTTCCTCTTCCTCTTCCTCCTCCTTTTCCTCTTCCTCTTCTTCTTCTTCTTCCTCTTCTGCTTCTTCTTCTTCACTATGGGGGGGGGTGACAGTTTTTCTTTATTCAATCTTTCAGTATCTTTAAAAATTTGGGGAATATTTAAATTTACCAGACTGGTCAACACTGCAATCCTAAACAGAGTTCAATCCTTCTAAGTGCCTTGCAACTCTTGTTAGATTGTCCTATACAAGGCAGAATTCTTTTAGTGGCTTGACAGCCCATACCTTCACCAGCTTGTCATAGACTCACAGAGTTGGAAGAGGCCTCCAGCAATGTTCCCTCTAAGCTGTGGAGTCTCTTGAGCAAAAATTCTCCTTGCTGAGCTGCTGGCATTCAAGTTGAGAGGCGGCAGTTTGGCTGCTGCACAAATTAGTTTGCTCCGGAGCCCTCCTTTCTGAGCTGAGGCAAAAATGTGTGAGCCGGAGGCTAAAAAACCGTGAGCTGGCTCACCCTAACTCATCTTGGAGGGAACACTAGTCTCCAGGGTCATCTAGTCCAACTCTCTGCACGATGCAGGAAATGTACAAATACCTCCCCCTCTACACCTGCAGTGACCTCTGTTACATGACCAGAAGATGACAAAAAAACCTCCAGGATCCCTGGGCAAACTGGCCTGGAGAAAAATTGCTTCCTGACCCCAAAGTGGCAATCAGCATTTCCCTGGGCATGAAAGAAAAGGCCACAGGAACTAAGCACTGAGACAACCCTTCCTGCCCTCCCTCTCATGATCTGCCTAAGGTCACACAATCAGCATTGCTGTCAGATGGCCATCTCGCCTCTGTTTGAAAACCTCCAAAGA